AGGAATTTGTAGGGCCAATGAACTAGGAAAGTGAAAAAGATCCAACCCAAATCTGTGCGACTCAGATATACATTCTTACTACTTCTGTATTATACTGTATAGTTTCTTACTATGCAGGAAAATAAAATTTTTTTAATGTATTTTTAGATTATAGGTTATTTTATCCCCCAAATCATTCTGTATGTAAGTATTTGAAATAAAGATTTATGCATACCTATAAATTTTTCCAAAATATAAAGTACTAAAAGTTGAGATGTTCACAAAAAAGTTAAGTTCATTTTGCAATTTCTTTTCAAGTTTCCTTCAAAAGTTATTTTATAAAGGTACATGCATATATTTTTCATTTATATTTGCTCTACTCTAAACTGCATATTCAATCTATTTCACTTTTCACAGCAGCTCATTATTGTTTTGTTTTGTTTTTCTCTGATTCTAAGTAAGGATAACATTCCTTACACAGTCAATTTTTGGTCATTCATATTTCTTCTGTGAATTACTCATCAAAATTTATTTTTCCATGATTTCTACTGAGGAATTCTTTTTATTCTTGATTTTTTAAATGCTCTTTCATGTGAATAGCTTTTCTGTTTGTTGCTTATATTTTACATGTATGCCTTCTTTATTTAAACATTCATTTTTACATTGTTATGTAACAAAATGTGCTAATCTTAAAATAATGGTTATGCTTTTCATTATGTCATTAGAAGGACCTTCCCCAATCAAAGATTACAGAAAATATTCACCATTATTTTTCCTAGTAATTATTTAGGATTTTTTGTTATGTTATGTTTGGTTTTACTTTAAGAAATTTATGGTAGGGGAAAGGGTGAACAAAGGAGATTAAGGTGAGAGAATATGGTTGATGGACTTCATATACTTTTTCAAAATAGAGCAGTGAAACTTCTTGCAATTGGTTTAAGTGGGGTAGGGAGGGAGTTCAGGAAGAGAGAGGATGGGGGTGATCTAACCAATGTACAATATAAGCCTATTTGCAATTGTTACAATGAATCTCACTATCACAATGAATATATACTAATAAAAAAAAAAGAAATGTATCAGGGAGATGTAACTTCAGGGACAAGAGAAGAAAAAAAATTAATCCATCTGGATTTAGAAGGAGAATAAGGATAGTTGTGAGTGTTTTGTTTCTGATTATATAGCCAGATGGCAGTTTGCTTTGTCTGATATTGATGTAGCCATTCCAGTTTTCCTGTGAGTAGAATCTATCTGTTATATTTTTTCATCCTTTTGCTTTTATTGTACTGCATTTTTATATTTAAAATGCATCTCTTATAGATGAAATATACTTAGATCTTTCTTTTGGTCCAATTTATCGGTTTTAATTCGAATGTTCAGTCCATTGACTATATTTAATTATGGATGCAATGCAGTTTAAGTCTATCATCTAATTTGCTTTTATTTTCCCATCCATTCTTTGTTCTTTTCATTTTTCTTTCTTCCCTTCTTACCTACTTTTATTCCATTTTCTATTGAATTTTTACTATAACTTGTGTTTTATATTGTAGTGGTTCTTCTGTGTATTACAATATGGTTCCTTAACTCATCACAGTCTACTATTAAGTTCTGTGCTCTCTCAGTATCAACTCAGTGTCAGAAGTTTTCAATAAATGTTCTTGACTCTGGCTGGCTATAATTCCAAAGTCTTGTAGCCTCACCTAAGCTTGCTAACATTGCTTTTGGGGGCTTGGCAGTTGTACTCTGTGTATGTACAGGTTAATATTCAGCAAAGTGTTGTACAGATTCCTGAAACCCCTTCTCTGTGCAGCTCCCTCCTTTCTAGTACTCTTCTCCAAAGGTTCCCCTATCAATTTGGGATCTATCTCCTTCAGCCAACAAGCCATCATGCTCTGCTTAGACTCCAACTTTTGAATCTGTCTTGACAAGGCTTCCAGGCATAAAACTAGTGTGGTCACAGGGTGCTCTGTGCTTGTTTCCTTGTTCCATAGCATTACTTTCCAAGCTGGCTATTATCTAAGGCCTGAAATTAGTTGTTCCACATATTTTGCTTTACATTTGCTTTGTGCAAGAGGGCCAGCCCTATACCAGTTACTTAGTTGAAAGTAAAAGCAGTGACTATAGTTGAGGGCATCCTATATTTTCCCATTTTTATATTTTTATACTGTTAATATAAGGTCCTTTAAAGTTCTAAAATATTAGAAAAGAATTTTAAAATCTATTCATAATCCTAGTATCAACAATCAGCCACTCTTAACATTTTGGAAATTTTTTTCTTCCAGTTTTTTCTGTGTGCATTTTGAAAATGTAGATTAGTACTGGGCCCCTAAGCAACAGCAAAGCACTTTGGGAAATAAAAACTGGGGGTGACTGTCATCATTATTTTTAATGTACTAGTAATTATTAATAATAATTCTGTGTAGGATGAAACAGTGGTTCTCAGATAGCACCTACTCAACCAAAGGAGTGGAAAAAGAAAATGACAGACATAACTTTGGCCTAACAGTGACACATACCTAAGAACTAATAAATGATTCCCTACAGAATTTCAATGATAAACTAGTGGACAAAAGTAGCTCTTTGAATTGGGAAAATGTTTCATGCTAACTCCAACTTCAGTTCAAGAATAGATCTTGTGCTTTTATATTACTGATATTATGCACATGTTGTACTCTTCACTTTTACGGTTACATCTATTTGAAAGCATGCTAGATATAAAATTTTGAATCCTGTATTTTTCAATTAAGACTATGTAAAAATCATTTTCAATGTCAGAGAAATCTTTTTTCAAACATCATTTTAATGATTAGGATTTCATGATAAAGATGCATAATTGAACTTATCTTCTATTTTAAATTATTTCCATTTTATTATGTAATGTGATAAGCATATTTCCTTCTGAAATTCTTCCTCCATTTGGAGATGTTTTTAAAGTAGATCCATTGAAGCACATTTAGAAGCCAGGGTAATGTTTGGGGATATTAGATGATATTAGGACTCTAGTCTTGGTCATTCCTCCCCTTAGAATTCTAATTTTTTTAATAAAAAATGAAAAGTAAGGTACCATTTTCTATTTATTGGGATAGTCACTAATACCCTCCAGTTCAGACTTACTCTGGTAAGTCTGGGTTGTGGTATTTGGCCTAGTGTAAAGTCTTTGGAGGATCTCAACATCCCTGATAGCATAAATCCACATTGCATCATTGTATTACCTTGTGACAAGCAGTATGACACAGAAGAACACCTATTGGTGATTAGTGGTGATTACTCATAAACTGGTGATCAGTACTCCTAGACACAGTTTAAAAATGAGAGAGGAGAGCAAGCAACATAACGAAGGAGATCTTACTCAACTTACCTGTTCAGTCCTACAAAAAAATACATGTCATTTTAAAACACAGTGATTCTACCAAGAAGTAAACATGGGCTAACCCACATCCTAGAACTTTATAAATCAACATTTCCTTCTCCACAAGGAAAAAAGAAGTAGTAAAATGCAAATTTCTCCAAAGCATACAAATATTTAAATTTTTTTGTAGTTGGCAAAATTCTTTTACATACCCACTTGCATTTGCAATTGTGTCTTTTTCATTGCATCCTTTCTGTATAACTATTAAATTCTGCCACTTATGTGATTTAGGGAAAGTAACTTAACCTCTTTGCCTCAGTTTCCTCATCTGCCAGACAAGGTTAGCAGTTTCTACCTTATAACATTTGGAGGATGTAATCATACAAAACACTTAAAGGAATGCCTATTATGTATTATCTGTTCAATAAAACACTAGTTATTATTCTTATCATGATTTTTGCTGTTAAAATCTTAATTACCCAGGAGAAAATATATCTCATTGTTGTAATTACTTATGGAATTGTAATGATATTGAATATTTTTCTTATATTGAGTTTTGCATTTCTTCTTTGCAGTCTATTCATGTTCTTGGCACATTATTTCTTGGTCTTAATTTTCGCAGTGTTTTATGTTGTAATTTTTAATTATTTTTATTAGCATATATTAATTGTAAAACGTGGGGAGTGTCATTGTGACAGCTCTATATACACACATTATGCACTTTGGTCATATTACCCTGCTATTACTCTTTCTTATCCTCCCCTTTCAATGTCCTCCTTTTTTTGAACTTTCTTGCAACATTTTTAAATAGGTTTCATGACCTTTTCATATGAGCATACAATGTACTTCAACCATATTTTCCCCCCACCCTTTCTCTTCTCCTCCCACTTCCCACTGGTTCCACACCCGATGTAATCCCGTTTTGTGTCCATATTATATATACTTCAATGTAGTAAAGTTCTTTAACTTTGGTCTGGCATTCTCAAATATTTTTCTTAAGTTTATAGTTTATCTTATAATATTATTTATGACATTATTATCTCACAGGAATCTTTCACTCTATATTATAAACTTATTTTCTTTCATAGTTTCTTAGAATTTTTTGGTTTTTCAAGATGGGTGCTATGCAGATACCATAACAACTTTAGCTTCTCTTTTCATTTTTAATTTTTTTTAGATTTAATATTTATTATTTCATCCAAATAGAATGGTCTTTACTGTATGATATGCTAAGACTTTACTTTTAAATCCAGGAAAATTTTATTGCTTTTCAAGAGCTCAAGTTGAGTCTGATACCTAAAAATTGTTTTATATTTTCCTAATATATTTTATAATAATGTATGTAATATTTTTAACAGTTGCAGGTACATTTTTCTGCACAGGGACAGTCTTATCAGTACACATGGTCATTTCCTAATAGTATGTGCATAGCCAATTAGCAAAATTCATGTGAACTCTAATATCCTCACATCAGAACCAGCCAAGAAGGTTTAACCAACATCACATTCTCTCTACTAAAAAGAGGAAATACCTAGAAGGTTTCTGGGTAAGATGAAGTTGATTTAAATTACAACCAAATAATTGTCAATGGGGACAGACAGAAACTAGCAATATCCAATTAGGTGCTATTTTTAATGTAAGCCCCTTCTACAGGACTCAAATAAACCTGTTCTTTTTGTGACAAATGGACAAACAGGCATAAATCTCAATGGGAAAAGAAAACCAAACCTTTGTAGATGAATTTATCTTCCTGGGCCTTTCACAGGACTTACAGACCCAGATCCTGCTATTTATTTTTTTCCTCACCATTTACCTGATGACTGTACTTGGAAACCTGCTCATCATCATCCTCATCTTCATGGACTCTCAGCTTCACACCCCCATGTACTTTTTTCTTAGAAATCTCTCTTTCGCAGATCTCTGTTTCTCTACTAGCATTGTCCCTCAAGTGTTGATACACTTCCTGGTGAAGAGGAAAACCATTTCTTTTTTTGGGTGCATGACACAGATAATTGTTTTCCTTCTGGTTGGGTGTACAGAGTGTGCACTGTTGGCAGTGATGTCCTATGACCGGTATATAGCTGTCTGCAAGCCCCTGCACTATTCCATCATCATGACTCAACAGGTGTGTCTCCAGTTGACCATAGGGTCCTGGGCCAGTGGGGCCCTAGTGTCTCTGGTAGATACCATCTTTACTTTTCATCTTCCCTACAAAGGACAGAATATAATCAATCACTACTTTTGTGAACCTCCTGCCCTCCTGAAGCTGGCTTCAGCAGACACTCACAGCACAGAAATGGCCATCTTTGCAATGGGTGTAGTAATCCTCCTCGCTCCAGTCTCCCTCATCCTTGTGTCTTACTGGAATATCATTTCCACTGTAATCCAGATGCAGTCTGGAGAAGGAAGATTCAAGGCTTTTTCAACCTGCGGCTCTCATCTCATTGTTGTTGTCCTCTTCTATGGGTCTGGAATATTTACGTACATGAGGCCAAACTCCAAGACCACAAAGGAGCGAGACAAGATGATATCTGTGTTCTATACAGCGGTGACGCCAATGTTGAACCCCATAATCTATAGCCTGAGAAACAAGGATGTCAAAGGGGCTCTCAGGAAATTAGCTGGAAGAAAGTTCTTCTCTCAGAGGCAGTGACGTATGGGTCTGACTTTCAGAGCTATGGTAGCATCTTTAAAAGAGGAGTAGGATTTTGGTAGGCAATTATGAATCACTGAACACTCAACTCCAAAAGCATCTAATATGCTTTTCTACCCTGTATGCATCTTAGCCAATCTCCATTGAATGAGCCTAATTTATCTAATATTTCTTTAGGAAAAAAAAAAGAAGACAAATTAGAATTTTTGAAATTGGAGTTTCACTATCCTACACTGATTCCTCCATAGGCTTGGATACTAGTACAACATATCTCACAATGGCTCACCTTTTCTCATGGCCAATATCCAAATCCACTTTGGGTTCTCATAAACCTTAATTCAAATGAACTGACTGAGAGCCATTTCTCTCTTTCATCTAAACTTAAACTCTTATTCATTTTATCATATCCAACTCTGGGTCAATGACTGAACTGTGATGTATTTTAATATACATTTTTGGATTTGAAACTATCTCTTCAAAATTATTAGAACTGTACCACAATGAGCAAAATCAAATCCAGGGTATGATGATCTGTGAAAAGCTTCATTCAAACATCATGTTAAGTTGAGGTAATACAGTTAAGGACTCAGAATTATTAGTTGAACTTGGTGACTTTAGGTGTTATCACCTACATGAGATCTATTTTGGTGAAGGAAAGGGGAGTAAGAAAATAGAAATGGAAAGTGTGGACACTAATTCAGAGAAATTCACTATTGGGGAGAAGGAAAAAATAAGGTACATTTGGGAGAGCTGGATTGTGGAGATTTTTATTCTACTTTAGATTCCTGAGTCACTCTTTTCCTTGAAGATGTTAGCCCTGTCTAAACACTACAACACACTGCTCCTATTATAGTTCTTAATTGTTTTGTTTTTTAGAATTAAATATTTGGATATTTTGAATTCTTATATTCTTTGATCCTCACTTCTCCAGTGACCTTAACCATTCACTTCCATGGTCATATCTTAATCATTGCCATTTTTATAACTGCCACCCCCACTGTCCAAATTACAAAACTGCAAAATAATGAAATGGCTGTTTTTAGGCAATAAGTTTTGGAATATTTCTTATGCAGCAATGGATAACTGACATACTGCAATCATGCTTCCATTCACTATACACACACACACACACACACACACACACATACACACAAAGATGCCAATGGGACTTCTTCATGTTACCAATACAAAGCTGTCTGCTTATAACAACTACCTCTTATGAAGGAGAGTGGGAATAAAGGTACAAAATGCTTCTAATGAAATGATATTTAATATATATATCCAGAAATCATAATAAAGATGATGTATCATCAGGTTTTTAGTTGCAAGTTTAAGTGAAAAATAAACAATATTGAAACAATGGTAGTTCCTGTCTAATAGTCAGAACCCCAGGTCAAATTCCTATCACAGAACTGGTCTGATGAAGCCATAACTGTCATTCACACTGGATGGCACAATTTACATTGCCAGCACCCCCAGCACAGGACAGTGCTGCTGGAGTGCTGATTCTGCTGAGCCTGGGGTTTGGATATTGTTGCATCTGCTGAGGAAAAAAAAAGGTGTTATAGAAAGAAAAAAGACGGAAGAAAGGAATTACTGCCAAATATTACTTCAGCCAAATGATCAAGGTTAAATCAACAATATGTGTCTTAGGTATGATGTGATGACAATGGCACTTTGTCTCTTGTGACAAACATCAGGCAAATCCCAACAGAGGAAGATCTACAAAAAACTTGACCCAAGAACTTCAAAATTGTCAAGATTATTAAAAACAAAGAAAGTCTGAGAAACTGAACAGCTAAGAAGCGCCTGAAGACATACGACAACTAAATGTAATATGGTATCCTGGATAGGATTCTGGAGCAGATAAAGGACAAAAGGCAAAAACTAAGCAAACAAACAAATAAAGGAAATCTAAATAAAGTATTATGAACTATAGGTAATAATAGGGCTATGAAAGTATTAATTTTAGCAAATATACCATAATAATGTAAGATGACAATAATAGGGAAAACTGGTTGCAGAGAACTCTCTTTTTAATGAAAAAAAAACTGCTATTCTTGTTTTTTTCATGTTGCTAGCTCTCAAAATCTTGACTGGGTATTTCGAGAATGAATTGATAGAGTACAAGTTATTTGCTGCCCCTAGGTGCAACAGAGACAAAGAAAGTGAATTTTGGATATATTCAGCCTCCATGGATAGAGACAATCTCCCACTCTCACCAAGACTCATAAGATTACAAAAGCAGAAAAAGTATTCAGATGATCATAAGCCAAAAATTGACAAATATCCATGACACATGACCTCTGAAACCAAATCACACTCACTAACACCTTAACTATTTACAAATTCTAGATTGACCAGTGCAACTCACTATTTATACAACCCAATATTCTGAGGATGTGTACAACACAAAACACTATGTGAAGAAATGCAACAGTTTTGCATAAGGAATGCTTCTGTTAGGTAGTAAGGCAATCCTCTTCCTATTATGTTTACTAATAAACTTTCAATGCCTAGAATTATATCTGCCTCATACTATGCACTCAGTAAAAAGTGAGTGAATGCATAAATGAATAAATAAGAGGTCTGAGAAAAACTGTTGGTGTATGTCAGCCAACTTTTCTCTGTATCTTTAGCTAAACAAATATAGACAGGTTCTAACCCAGAAGAGATGGATTTCATGATGATAGAAAGGAACAGAGTTTGTACCAAACAATTCTATGCATCTTAAAGATATAATCCGATATGGTCTCTTGCCTTTGTAATTAAGTCACATATTGAGAGGAAGCTTATAAAGTTGTGCCATTTAAAAATGGCTGGACTGTCAGTGAGGTGATTGCATCCTGAAAATAACCCTTGTTCAATTAGAAAGCAGGGTCCAGCCTTCAGCAGACTTTTGAAGATGCCTGATCAGAAATTTCACACTTACAGATGTATGAGAGGAAGAGTGCTCATTCTCCCTACTATTTCATTTTTTTTCCTTTCCCCTGCCTCTTAATTGGCTGAATACTATATTTGAGCCTGTTTACTTGCAATGCTTGCAAGTAAAATTTTAAAATTTAAAATTTTTAAATTTTGTCTAGCTAGTTAAAATATTAACAAATACCAACCCCCCTACAAAAAAATCATGTCACACACCATACACCTGGATTTTAGAAAATTTAATTCCGCAATTCTGCATATTTACTGATGGCCATCTAAATCCTGAGACACTGAGTGGGTAGCAGTGGGACAATTATACAGTGATTTGAACTTGATCTAGCTTTACCATCCCTTAGTTTCAATAAATCTGGGAATCTCTCTTAAGTGTTGTGATGATGATTCAAATCACATCTGTAACTATGACAGAAATGAATACAAGTTGGCAAAAAAAAAAAAAATCCTAGCTCTCATTTTGTTTTACCTTAGCCACTCCTGGCCTAGATTTAAAATTCCCGGTGGAAAGCTTTCTACAATTTACTAATTTGAGTTCTTTCTCTTTGCTCTTACAGCGCTGTGTACATGCATCTACTTAAGCACTAGTCATATCATCAAATAAATAAACTTCTGAGTATTTCCTCCTATGGCACACACTTACCAGATTTCTTCGTACATCTCAGGCCGATCCTCCTCTTTCCTTAGTGGGTACATTTTCCTATCCCTTCCCCCAACCCATGTTATCAGTGTTCTATTGCCAGAACCAATCCTTCTCCCCTCCTCCCTCTCCTCCCCCTCTCTCGTCCTCATCTTTAAACTCCAGACGACTAAATCCAAATGCCTAATTGGCAAAGTTTCTTGTATGTAACAAAGTATCTCCCATTCCCACAAGGCAAAACTAAAGTCAGATCTGCAATAAGGAAGGTTTTGATCAGTTTCCCTGATGGGGTAGAGAATGGCAGGAACTGCGACCCATTCCTCCAACCCATTAGAGGAGCAGCGTGAAAGTGGCAGCAACAGGGTCCATGGCGTGGGCGGGGCCTGGGAAGAGGGCGGTGCCGGGAAAGCCCTGCCTGGGTCAGACCCGGGTCGCGGGGGCTTGTGGGGGCTCCGTCCCTTCTGGTGCGCATGCGCTGGAGCGCGCCGCGCGGTGTTTAAAAGGACACGAGAGGCCTGGAATTCCTAATTCTGGAATAATTAGCAATTCTAGCTGTTTGTACCCGCCTAATGGGCGGCTTCCGTGGCTCGTCTCAGATCTGGCACGGGGCGCGACTCCACAAAGCCCTGGATAGGAGCGGTGCTGGCAAGTATCCCGGACGCGGCGGAGGGTGCGCGGCCCTGGGAGTCGCGCCGCTGACGTCCGCGACCTAGGACGCGAGCCAGAGGAGAGGGATGGGGTAGTGGGCGAGTTTAAGATGAACTGGGTTACGGCGGGAAACAACCGCTGGGTTCTGGACCCGGTTCGACTGTACAAAGGATCGAACCTCACTGAGGTCCCCTCTTCCGTCTCAGACGCGTAGCCTGGCAAGTACATCATGGATCAACTGGTGGGGAATGGCTGGTATTGATGCCTCTTGGAAATACCAAGAGCGACTTCATCAATCAACTGGGGGAGGAAATTGTGTTTTCTAAAAAATTTCATCCTGCCTTGTTTTCCCAGTCATCCCTAGCCACTCCTGTAACACGTTACAACCTGTAGGTGTCTTAGTTATTTCATACACTCATTTGCAAACTGCTTTCTTTTCTTCCTTATCGGGGCTAGTCTGGCAAGACCATTCTTACTGAAGCTACTCCCCTACCTATGACTTATTTGATGAAAAACCCTTTTTACAAACAAGTACTACCCTTTGCGCATAATTAGTAGGTGTCCAAGTACCTCGAGACCGTAAAATCCATCGCGCTTTGCGCACCTGGCTATATTAATCTAACCCTCCCGATTCCTGTCACCTGTGCTGCCCTGGTCGACCCCACACAGTGGTAGTGGCTTATTGTCTTAACTCTGTCCGGGGTCTCACCATCATCCTCAAAGGTGTTTATGCATTACTTTAGAGCTTAAACTTAACAGTTGTTGGCTTTGCTTA